TTTCTATATAGTGCTGTATGCAATGCTTATATTTGAATTTGAAACACCATAAATTGCCCCTCCTGTTTATGCTACATTACCACTGAATTAAGATTGTATTAATGAAAATTTCGTTTCCTGTAAATAAAAAACTCCACCATATTGCCCAGAAATTTCTCTGTATATTGATTTATAATCTGTGAATGTAGTCTTTTAAAGTGAAAATAAGCCTCCTTAAGACGATTTCCCACATTTTTAGAAATTATTATTTCTCAAAGCAATGCTTACAACATTTTACAACTGAAACTGCCCTTTATTTGTACTTTAATACTACCAACCAGATAGTTGCTTAATTTCAGAATCTTAATTATAATCTTTATCGCAAATTATGGTAGATCCTATAATCTAAAGTCTCATTAAAAACGAGGAGGATGAAATAAATCCTCCAGTTGTTGAGCTAAATTATGTAAACTTAGAATTTTCTATTGAAATCATATCTGAGTCAACGACATAAAAGATTCCTCCTTAGTCTATAGATGTTATATTTGATAACTCAACATTTAAAAGAGTAATATCTGTTTGTGGATTATTAATATAAGCAAAGCCTCCTTATTGAGATTATATGTTTGATATGGCTTTTGAATTTTAAATTGTTATCACTGAAAAATCAAAGTAGCTCTACTGTTCATTAAAGAGGAATCCACCATACATTTTCGCTTTGCTATTATAAGTAAAATAAAGTGCTCCACCAGATTATGTCGAATAAGAATCATGAATGATTGTATCTTGCATTATTAAATTACACCCTGTGCATGAAACTATTGAGCCATATGTACCAGTTAAATTATAAAATTGAGATCCTTTATCTTTGTATTTGTATGAACCAATTTTGATAAAAGCTCCTTGATATGATTGCCTACAATTTCTAAATATGCAGTTCTCAGTTTACAAACCCGCAGCCCCTTCATATCGTATAACTCCTTCATCATATTCCGAAAAATTTGGTGGGCCCATTAAGATTGTAATATCTTTGTTTTGACAGTCGACTGTAGTATCTTTAATTTTAACATTGTTATATCCAGACCTTATATTTCCCTAGATGTATAAAAGCTGAGTTGATCCTTTAGCAAAGAAATCTGAAAATTCTGTCCTCTGAAATTCTGGAAGAGAATAAATGTATAGGCTACCAATAAAAAGTCCTAGCATATTGAAAACTGCATGATAATCAGCTCTAACTTTTCTCACAGTAACAGATTCAACTTTGATGAATAACAAATTTTTGTCATTTTGATATATAAAACCTCCAGTACCAACTATCATTTCTATATTTTCAAATGTAGAATTTCTTATAGTGACTGACCTATAATCGTTAAAGTAGAAATCATCTCCAAGTAAACTAAATATTCCTCCATTAGGCTAGTCTCCTCCCACTATAGCGACGTTAGAAAACGTACAATTCTAAACAAATAGAATATGCATATTTACACTTAAAACCGCCCCACTATTACTAGAGACAAGGCCAATCACTGTATTATTAAAGAGATAGGCTTTATGATATTATAAACTATAGATTCCTCCATTCAATCCTTCGCAATTTTTGTAAAAGGAATTGATATCAGCAAAGATAGCATATTAAGCTCCACTCCATTCATTATGGAGTTAAGGCTGAAATATTATTAAAGCTTAAGTCCTAGGAGTGGTCAATCTCTCCATTTAACACATCATGAACATATTTTCAATGAAAAACTACTTTGCAGATTTCACAATTATTGGTGTCATTATATCTCTGTCTGAGTAAAACAAATATCCTATTGCTTCAAAATCAAATGAGGGACCAATTTTAGAATCAGATATTGGTATAAACACAGTTTCACTCTCGGATAATACTCTCCATCATTTTGGGGGATTACTGAATTTATCCAAAGGTGTTCTGCAAATTATTTATGAAAAGCGAACATTCACTGAATCTGTTACATTGTCTACGTACAAGAAACTAGAATGAGACCTTGAGTATAAACTGGCCACATTAAAGTTGTTTATCTCGACCATATTTGCAAGCTTAATAAAAATTGAGTTGATAGCTTAGCCATATGATTAGATCAGTTAGCATGACGAGAAATATACATTAGTTCGTAAACTTGATACTAAAACAGAGCTAGCGTTGATAGCTTTAACCTTGGTTATATTAACATTCCTGAACTCAAGAGTTTTAAGAGGACCAATAATAGTTATCTATATTCCAAAAAAATCCAAAACTTAAGTGTCAGATTAATCTTCTACTAAGTAGTAAACACATCCTCCCTCATTTTCTGCTACTACCTTATTAAAAACTGAGTCTAAGATTTAGATATCTCCTTTTGGATTCTTAATAAACATTCCACCTCCTTAATATTTAGCTAGACTGGTCTAAATAACTTAGCCTTCAATCACTACGTCTTATATACTATCCAAAAACATTGCAGCTCCATAAAATGCGTACATATCTTAAAAGGAGCATCCAAAAATTGATAAATATCCTCCATATACATATATTGCTCCACCTGTTTTTGAAATAGAATTGCCCTCGAATTAATTTTAGTTTAAAGTTGTTGATATAGTATTTAAGAGTGTGATACCTCCATAATTTTTAATTTAACTATCATAAGGGTATTAATCCAGAGCTTTATTTAAAATCTAATAGAAACCAGAATTAGATAACATAAATTATAATCCCTACTTTTGAGTGTAAATTTATGAGCCACTTTAAGCTGAATATGAATCGTATAATTATAAGTTAGTAATATTGCTGTAAATGGCTTCTTTTATATAGAGGAATCCCCCAGATCCAGTTATTGATTCTGTTGTTTAACAAGTAAAATCTTGAAGTTCAAATTACATATCTTTAGAATCAATATAAAAAGATCCTCCATCAGATAAACTTATAACATTACTTAAGTCTATACTCTGACCTAGGAATTAAGGAAATGCACTTTGTCCTGACTAGATTGAAGTATCTTACTAGACCTCATCATTTGATGAATATAAAACAGCCCCACTTTATAAAGCTCTGACACGAAGTATATATCCCACACTTAACTAAATTTAAGAAAAGCCTTTTTGATAAATCATCCCACCAAAGATAGCAATGCAATTTTCTATGTAAAAAT